AAACTTTGTCGTAGATTCACCAAATATTTCCAGAATTCCATCAGCAGTAATTTCATCAATCCCTAAGAATAGCAGTCCATCACGAAGCATAATTCTCGGTAATGAGTCATAAGCTTTTTTGATGTCAACAGCCAAACCATAAAAAGGGTTCTTGTCCTTTTTTGCCCAAGCAATCATATTGTAAATTGAAAGGACTCTGTGAATAGTTTCTCTGCCGTCTTCACCACCAAATTGAGCTAATGATAATCTTCCCTTTAACACTTCCTTCAATCTTTTGGTGATTAATTTAGTAGCTATTTTAAGTCCTGAGTCCATAAGGGCAATAGGTCTATAGTTAGCAGAGTTTGAGTGGTCCTTATTCTTTTTGTGAATTGGGAGAATGCTGACACTTTGCATAGATTCAGGAGTAAATCCAGTTGTAATGATATTTTCAATAATTTGAAAAATTTCCTCCTGTAATTCCTTACACATGTATTTGATAGTTTTTTGTCTTAAACCTAGTTCATTGGGTGCTGTGGATTTCAAATTCTGAATTATCCATTCTTTCTCTTCCGTGGTGATTCTACCGAGTATTTGAGTATTTTGTCATTGCAATTATCAATTAATGGATGTTTGTACTTGAAATACTTGGTAATGTCAATTTGATGATTTCTTCCTCTAAAGTTGAGGTTTTGTTGATATTTGTCTTTGATCACATTGGCAACTTCATTGGGGTCACTAATTTCAGTTCCGTCGATAGATAATTCGTATGGTGGTGATGACGTTTTGTAAATTTTCTTTCTCAGATGTTTAGAGTTGGTTGCATAGTTTTGTTCCCACCATTTCATCTTTCTGTTCAAAGCCTTATCATGGCTCCATTTGATATGGTTCTATATTTTCTCTTTGACACTTATTATATTTGTAGATTTTAGGATCAAGTTTAGGTGGATTGACCTCCACAAATTTGTCGCCTAGTTTATCACAAATGAAAAGCCATTTGTCGTTATCAGATTCTAAATTCTTAACTTGAGATACACATTCTTTGCTAATGGCCAGCATTTCTTTCTTATTTTTGGGATCTTGAAAGTTACGCTTCTTCCGAATTAACAAAGGTGTTCGTTGACATGAGAGGTCAAGTAGAATTTTAACCATTTTGTGATCTGATATGAAGTTGGCATTCAGTACTTCTCCAGATGCAATTGGAAAATCTGTGGATATGTAGTCTATTATAGACTTGGATTGTTTGTTAATAGTATAATGAAGGTGCCATGATAAATGAGGGAAAGGATAGTAATTAAGATTTCTCTTGTTAATAAGATCTAGTATGTTTTGATCAGTTCTTCTAGATTCGTTTGAGGAGTGATTCTCGGATAAAATCGCATTATAATCACCTCCAATAATGATTTTGTAGTTAGGATATTTTTCAATTAGGTTGTCAAGAATATATGTGAATTCACATCTGTCAGCTGGTTGATTTGGAAAGTACGCAGAAATTACTAGAGTATTAATTGAATTGATTTTACATTTCACGCCAATAATTCGCGCGTTATTCTTAATGATCGGATCTAAGATGATTTCTTCAATATCTTTGAAAGTGCTTTTGTTGAGGCAAATAGATACACCACAGGAATCTCTTGGATTGTGATAATATGTAAATGAAGAATAATATATAGAGGGAAAATCTGGACCAATGTAGACGCTTTTAACTTCCTGGAGCATGATTATATCAGGAGTGATTGAGTTGAGGTAGCCTCTTAGGGCTGATAATGGCTCTGCTCTGAGACCATTAATGTTGAGGGTTAGAATAGATAATTCTGGAGCTACTGAAGTGAATCAAGTAGTTTTAGCTTTTTGTGACACTCATCAATTTCCTCTTGATATATGTTCCTCTTGGTATTATCTTTTGTACAACCAGACAGAAATGTTAGAATAGCAATTCTATTGGTAATCATTAATTCTTCATTATTTGCTCTGATAATATTAGCCATTTCCTTAAATCCCATAGTCAATTTCTGATTCTGTCTTGCCTCAAGTTCTGCAATTCTTTTATCCATAGAAGCTTCAATTCTCTTGATTTCTTTTAGGTGAACTTGTTGCACTTTTTCAAGAGTAAAGGAAACGTCTTTCGCTGCAATTTTAGATTGTTGAGTCTAATCAAACATATTCTCTTCTCTTGATTGATGATAAGTATGGATACAGGTTGGTCATTATTGTATTTTCTGGCAAGAGAGGATTCCGTTTGTATTCTAGCTCTAATCAAATCATTTCTTTCAGGCCATCTACCAATGATGTCAGAGTATTGCACATCCATTGCATAGTTGAATGGTATGTCGATTTTCATAGTGACTGTTTCCTCTGTTCTAGGAATAGTGATATCATATGTTTTTGCCTTACATAGATTATTTCTGGCTTTCATACTTTTGACAGTGATCACTGCTGCCATTTCTTTACCAATTCTAGCTGTAGCAATTTCAACAATGGGTTCACCAGTATCGCTTTCAATAGCATTCCTCCAATCTGCCTTGACTGTAGTTTTCCATAGTTCTCCTATTGGAATATTATGGACACGTATAATTTTGTTGGTGTCGTTTTCACATGATGAAGTGATATTGACTTCTTTAAATTTTGTACGTAATGTTTCAACTGCCTGTTCTACTTGAGCGCAATTTTCAATAGTGACAATTATGGTATTATTGAGCTTAATAATCGGATTGATGGTGACATATTTGCCACTAAGTTTGTCCTTAATTAATTCAATTACCTCATTCTCTTCAAATATTTTGCTATATCTAACAGCAATATATCTGGGAGGAGTGATTTCCTTCACTGCTATGTCATTGATGTTGAATTCTTCATTGTCTTGTTGGACATTACTACTTTTCTTGTTCTCAGATAATAGTTTGTTAATATTCTTCATTCTTTCCTTCCATAACTCCCAAACATGTTTTCTGTCCTTATGGTTTTTAAAAGCCTTTCTTTCTGTGGTGATTTCGTATTTAATGTCATCAGAGAGTATTCTGAGAGTGGCTTTTACAACATGTTGGAAATTTAAGGTCATAGGGTTGTGTGGGCTAGCAATAACAGATACAATTTCTAAAATCTGATCAGTGTCAAGAAGAGTTCTGTTTGTATCTAGTTTAGCATTACTGTGTTTGAGAAAAGTTTTACCAACAATTTCATCAACTGACATGTCTTGTATGTTGAGGTTATTAGTCAGCTCATTATCCAACAATTCAATGTTGTCTTGGTTACTCATGCTCATACTATTAGTTTTAGCGGCCAATTCTTCATCAGCTATTGGATCAATAGTTGGGTACAATCTAGTGTCAACACTAGTAGAGCAATTGTGAGTAGGGTTGAGATTATTTGTCAAATTGGGCTCATTAATGATTGAAGTGAGCTAGAGTGCTTGGGTCCATGGTTGCTGGGCATCCTAATTGAATTATTCTTTTTGTATAACGAATCTGATCTTGTTGGTCTGATTAAATACCATTCAGTCAATAGCGCTTTGATCTTAATAACTGCCATCGTAATAGGGTCTTGATTACAGTTTGATCACAACGGTAACAATCTCAGTATTTATAACCGGTGGTAGTTGTACGGTACCAAATCAGTACAGTACTTCGTAGAGATAAGTTTTAAATTTAAGTTTAATGATTCGGAGATGGTTCTTTGGGTGGTGATAAAGGGTGCTCAAGGTGAACACATAGCGTAGGTGTTGTGTTATTTTTTTTTCGTAGGTGTTGTGTTATTTTTTTTTCCTCGAAATTGGAGAGCATTTTTTTTAATGTAATTTTCAGCTGGATTTTCAGAAACAACAAGTC